TGAAATGGTTCCAAAATTCATAGAGAATAATTAACGGGAGCGCCTAGGTGGCTCAGTCGGTGGAACAGCCGACTCAGTTTTGGCTCAGGTCATGATCTCACGGTTCATGAGTTAGAGCCCCACATCGGCCTCCGCACCATCAGTGCAGAGCCTGCTCGGAGTGTTTTCTCTCCCCTCTCTGCCCCTCCCCCACTCACATGCACTCTTGCATTCACACGCGCATGCTCTCACTCAAAAATAAATAAACTTAGGGGCACCTGGGTGGCTCAGTCGGTTGAGTGGTTGAGCGACCGACTTTGACTCAGGTCATGATCTCGTGGTTTGTGGGTTCGAGCCCCGCCTCGGGCTCTGTGCTGGCAGCTAGCTCAGAGCCTGGAGCCTGCTTGAGATCTGTATCTCCCTCTCTCTCTGCCCTTCCCCCTGCTCACGCTGTCTCTCTCTCTCTCTCTCAGAAATAAATAAAACAGAGAAAGAATGAAATCTGGCCATGTGTAGCAACACGGATGGAACCTGAGGGTGTTATGCTGAACAAAGTAAGTCAGGCAGAGAAGGGCAGATACCATATGTTTGCACGTATAGGAGGATTAGGAGGAACTTAACGGAGGACCATGGGGGAGAAGAAGGGGGAAATAGTGGCGGAGGGGGAGGGAGGCAAACCAATTGAGACTCCTGAATGCCGAGAACAAACTGAGGGCAGATGGGGTGGGGGGCAAACGGGAAGGGGGGTGATGGGCATGGAGGAGGGCACTTGTGGGGATGAGCACTGGGTGTTATGTGGAAACCAACCTGACAATAAACTATTAAAAAAAAGAAATAAATAAAACATTAACATTTTTTAATAAATAAACTTAAAAAATTAACACACAATAGCCAATGAAAGTTCTTAAAGTATATGAAGAGGAGAATTTATCCTATATTAAAGTGTATTAAATCAACAGAACTATATAGAAGGTCCAGAAATGAACACCAGTAAGCAGGTAAACATATTATACAAAAAAGGGTTTTATATCCTACAGATTAGTCAATAACAAATAGTGTGGAAATGGCTAGTTAAACACTCAGGGAAAACATTAGCCTCCCCACATCTTTCCTTATCGCAACATGAATTCTAGATGCACGTAACAGGGGGAGCCTGGGGGGCTCAGTCGGTTAAATGTCCGACTTCGGCTCAGGTCATGATCTCACAGTTCATGGGTTCGAGCCCCGCGTCGGGTTCTGTGCTGACAGCTCAGGGCCTGGAGCCTGCTTCAGGTCCTGTATCTCCCTCTCTCTCTGACCCTCCCCTGCTCACGCTATCTCTCTCTCTCAGAAATAAAACATTAAAAAAACTGTAGAGGGGCACCTGGGTGGCTTAGTCGGTTAAGCGTCCGACTTTCACTTAGGTCATGATCTCGCAGTTCGTGGGTTCGAGCCCTGCATCGGGCTCTGTGCTGGCTGCCAGCTCAGAGCCTGGAGCCTGTTTCAGAGTCTGTGACTCCCTCTCTCTCTGACCCTCCCCTGCTCACGCTGTCTCTCTCTCTCCTAGAAATAAATTAAAAAAAAAAAAAAAAAAGAACTTTAGACGCACGTAAGAGTTAAATGGAGAAATGAGAAATGAAATGTACAAGTCCTAGTAGAAAATACAGGTAGGGGTGCCTGGCTGGCTCAGCCGTGGAGCATGCAGCTCTTGACCTTGGGGGCGTGAGTTCGAGCCCCACACTGGGTGTAGAGATTGCTTAAATAAATAAAGTTAAAAATATATAGATAGATAAATATTTTGTCATCTTGAAGTAGGAAAGGCCGTTCTAGGCCAGACACTCTCTGGCGGTAAAAACTCTGACACCTCAGTGAACACTGTTCAGTTTGACAATATGACAGTTTAAAGTTTCTGAAGGTCAAAGACATACATAAGACTTGAAAACCATATACGTACACTTATACCCAAGCACACAAGCCTCCATGCTCGCACACCTCATCCAATCACCAGAGAGGAAGGTAAACAAAAGAGAAAGTAGGACAAGTCATTCACAACAGGTGTAACAAGAGGTCAACGTGTCCAACGTTAACATGCAAAGGAGCTCAGCTACATCAAGAAGACAAATAGGAAAGTGGACAAAGGAGGCTACAGAATTCCCAGAAGACACAGCCAGCAGACAGAGAGGCAGCGCTGGCCTCTCCTGCACCGGCGGGCAGCTTAGTTCAGGACACAGGCACCAGGCTCTGTGTGCGTCACAAGGCTTGGAGGGGGGCCTGCTGCTCCGCCAGCATCGGACATCATCGGTGCTGTGGTCATCACGCGGGGGGACAGTCAGCAGAGCCTGCGGAACATGTGCTGCAAGCCCTAAGGGCCACACCGTGCGATGGGGTCACCCACCTTCTGAAATGTATCTACAGAGATGTTAAAGAAACACAAACACCAAGCAGAGATCTGGTCAGACTTGCTAAAAAACATCTAACGGGAGAAAGTGGTAGGTGGGTGAGTTCATATAAACCATAGAGGAAAGAGTGGAGCTTGACCATCAAATGGAAAAGAAAAGTGTGCACAGCTGAGTAAGACCAGTTTTGTGAGGTCCCGTCCGCTGCCCGTGACCCAGGCCGGGTGGCCTGTGTACTGACACTGGACACACAGGGAGAGCAGCACAGACCCTGCTCTCTACGGTGACAAACCACGAGGAGGCTGCTGATGGCAAACCAGGACTAACACTCTGCCGGGGTAGAGGGTGCAGAGATAAGGAAGGGTCTGGAAGGCATCCTGCATCTTGCTACCTTCCACGTAAGGTACTGCCCAGGCAGCACCTTAGAGGTACCACCTCTTTTTACACACACAGAGAGAAACATTGCTAGTCAGCAGCTAGTTAACAGCAGGCAGGACTCAGCCAGGACTGGGTCCCGCAACGCTCGGCGCCCACGCCATGATGCGCTAGCAGAGGTCATGAGGCAGGGTTGACGGGGTCTTCCCTCTCAGGATCCTACACGTGGTAACTCAGTGATCAGTCACCTAAACCACGCAGTCACTGAACCACATTTAGTAAGACGACCAGGCCCCCTCCAGGCACACACAGTTCGAGCCTCTGGCTTGAAGGGCGCCCACGTGTATCACGGCTGCCACACGACATGGCAGAGGGCACAGAGGTGCTGGGCCGAACACACGTTAGTGTCAGAGGGGGCACAGGAGGTAGGGCACCATTGTCTGATGGTCAGGCGTATGCAGGGAGGCTGGAAAGTCAGACGCCCTGTGGGGTCACGGGAATGCCCCACCCCCACACCATGCCCTGGGACTTCCCCTCCTAGAACAGGAGCCAGAGGAAGAACAGGCTTCCAGAGTCACCAGGAACCTGGGCTGACGGCCTGGGAAAGGCAGGCCACAGCTCATTGCTCAGTCACTCGAGAACACTATTTCTCAACATCAGCCGTGCCACGCTGTGTCACTGGGTTCACGTGCAACCCCCCACAGCCAGGTAGCCCCCCAGCTCAGCAAGGAAACACATTCCTCACGACTCCGGCAGCCAGTGTCCCCGAAGCACCAGCCAGGAGCCCACAAGAGCCACCGAGGCTTCCCTGGAGCCCCCGCCTCAGGAGACCAATAACTGAGCTCATGGAAGGGACTCACGAGATCTGGAGCTGCAGACCCTCAGTCCGGCTGCTCACCTGGGCCTCAGCGGACCCTGGCCTGAAAGCTAAGCACAAACACCTGCTTCCAAGCACACAGGGCCTAGCGATGGATGCGAGCAAGCATGTCCCCTCCACCTCTGATCCACTGGTGTTTGCAGGCAGCAAGCAGCCCCAGGGAAATGAGAAACAGTGAGATGCAGGTCTCAACAGGCTGCAGCAGCCTGCATGTGGTTTCAAGGTAATCGAGGCGGCTCAACTCAGGTCATTCCACTGTGACACCACAGACCGTCCGGTGAACCAGGACAGCCTGAGGCCTGAAAAGGAGGATCCTGCTGACAGCAGCATCCCCAGACCCCCTGGCTGCCAGGACCATAGGCGTGGATGGAGCCACATCACAATCAAGCCACTGCCAAAGTTTCCCATGACTGATGCTTCCCAAGAGGGTCTGGTGCCCAGTGCCCGCCGGGCATCCCCACCCAGACCACTCAACCCCGACAGCTCTAGCACTCAACTCACCACGTTTACCCCTAACCTCTCCGTGACCCCCAACTCACCTGCCATCTCGACCCGTCATCATGCACTCAGCTATCTGGGTCAGGTATCAGCATCACCCCTTCCTGTCCCTCAATCTCCCTCCCCACACCCTACGGGCCACTCACTCACCCTCTTCACCCCTACCACCACCCCTTTCCAAAGTGGTCCCTGCCTCCGACACTGTTGCCCCAAAGCCAGCCTCCATCGCAACCCCACCTTTTCCCCGGGGCCACCAGACAGCCCCTCGGCTTCCCACCCCAGGCAAGGCCACTCCTCTGTGCCCCCGCCCCCACCCCTCTGTACTCAACTCACCGCCTTGAGGGGTCAGCCCCGCCCGAACCCTGGTTAGGCTGGCGAAAGGGAACGTGTGTGCAAGTGTGTTGTCGAGCACTGCCCGCGGCCACGAGCCCTCTCCTGGGGCCCTACCGCTGCACTGCAGGAAGATCGGAACCCAGCATTCGGGCCGGGGGTCCAACCCGGCCGCGCCCCACCCAGCTCTCCGCTTGACTGGAGAGCGGCGTTTCCTGCGGCCCTCCAGCGTTCCGACCTACACTCTGTGACCAATAACCCTCGTGACTTTGGACAAATTATTTCCCCGCTCCGGACCGCCTCCTCGAATGTCAGAGAAATCGGAAATACAATGCCCCCCGCGCTGTGGGGCTCTCAGAGCTTGGGCTTAGCTTGCCCTAAAGGACACCCCGGTGTCCTCGCGGCAGGGAGCAGGGGCACGGACCTCACGCCCCCCACCCCCGCCCCAGGAGGGCACGGGCACCGGACCCGGCACCCCGCATGAGGAACCGGGTGAGCGGCCAGGCAGCCGGGCCTCTTCCGGCTTGTGACGCTGCAAATCCGGCTCCTCCGGGGACTGGACGCACCTGAGTCCAGGGGCGGGCTCGGCCCCGCGACGCCCAGGACCCTCCTCGCGCTCGCCCACTGACCTTGGGGAGGCGCCTCCCGACTCGGCTTCCCGCGCGGCCCGGCCGAGCGGGTGGCCCCCAGACTCTCGGGCCCAGGCTCCCTGAGGGGCACCTCTCCGGGAGAGCTTCGCGGGCCCCCGGCTCCCGGTCGCCGTTTACCTGAGAAGCTGCGGCCGCCGCGGCCAGGGCGCCGCCCTCCCGCCAAGCCCCGGACCGGAGTGGGCGGGGCCGCACGGCGAGCCCGCCCCCGCCGCCCGCCACCAACCGCGGCCCGGCGCGCGGCAGTCCGGCCCCGCCCCCACGCGATCTCCACGCTCATTGGCTGGAGTCGCGTCCCTATCCCCCCTCCACCCCGCCCACCAGGCCCCTGCGAGCTCGAGTGCGCAAACTCCGCCTCGTGCTCCGCCCCGCCCCCGGCCGCCCCGAGCCCGCAGCTGCTGACAGTTGGGCCCGAGCGTGGCCGGGCTGGCCAGCAGGGGTGCGGCCGGCCACTGCGCAGGCGCGGGGCGTACACTTCCTTCTTCCTCCGCGCGGGACCTGGACTCCTCCCGCGTTGTGTTCCCGTCCGCCTGGGGTGCTGACACCGCGAAGATCCCTGCCGGCAGCTCCCCGCCCCGGAGAAGGCGCCGGGGACGCGGGCTCGGCGCGCCACCGTCCTCAAAGCCAGTCCCCTCGCAAACACACACCTGTCCAGGCGCACACGCCAGGTGGGCCCAGCCTGGACACACACGGGCAGTACTGTGCCCTGTTGTCTCTCACTCAGAACTGTACCTACTGAGCACGCAACAAATACCCAGAGACCCCGGGCCGCCGGCTCCGCGAGCAGACAGTGCACGTTGTTTAGTCGGCCAACAAGATGGGCAGGTCTCCGGGGACTCGGGGCTCTGGCGAGGGGCCGACAGATGATGAGCAAACAACACACCGGAAGCACTGGGAGGTGGCAGGAGGCGCGCTCAGCGCAGAAGGGAAGAAGCTGGGAGAGGGCTGCACCCCGGCCAGGGGCACTGGCACCCGCACGACCTCGGAGGCTAAAATCGGGACGTGTTTAACAGACCCAAAAAAATGAGCGGCCTTCCAGAAGCTCAGGAGGTGAGAAGAGCGACTTGAGAAGGAAGTGGTCAACGGCTACATCCAGGGCCCAACAAATGTCTTCATCTTGCAGCAGGTTGCGTCTGCAGAGAGCTGTGAGCAGTGGTGTGCGCTGCGCACACTGGGGCAGGGAGGCTGCTCAACACTGCGGGGAGGCACATTCTTTGTCCAAAGAGAGAAGGGATTCAGGCTGTTTCTGCTTCAGGGATGGAGCCCGAAAGACAGGGACAGAATCCAGAAGGCTGACAGTGAGATGCTCTGCAGATGGGGCCTGGCTCCTCAGGAAGAGCCCTAACCATCCCCCCCACCACCACCACCGGGTGGAAGGGGGAGGGGGTAACCACCGTTTGTAGAAGTTGCTAGGGCAGGAGGCAGGCCTTTTCGAAGCTCACATCTGGAGGACTCCCTTTCCTTACCAAGCCCTGCCTTAGTACCCCATGGCCAGTGCCCAGCATGGCCCTCTGCCCTCCCCCCCCCCCAGCCAGACTTCACTCCCCAAGGGCACAGGCTGCCCCAGCACACATCACTGCTGTCATTCAACTTTATTATATTATATATACTTTTAATGTTGTCTATTTTTGAGACAAAGAGTGTGAGCAGGTGAGGGGCTGAGAGAGGGAGACATAGAATCTGAAGCAGGTTCCAGGCTCTGAGCTGTCAGCACAGAGCCCAACACAGGGCTTGAACCCACGAACCGTGAGATCATGACCTGAGCTGAAGTCAGGCGCTTCACAGAATGAGCCCCCAGGTGCCCTGACTTTGTTACATTATTAATGCCAGTCTCCCTTCTACAATTGGAAGCTCTAAGAGAAAGGCCCATGTCTGTGGCTTGCTCCCAGGTGCTAAGCACTGAGCCAGGCACATGATGGGTGCTCAGTGAATCTCATCGAATTGGTGAATGACTGAGAGTGCAGAGAAAGAGGAGGGCAGGAAAGACTTTGCAAAGGGAGGATGGACAGAGAGGGGTCCTGCCTGTCTCCTCACATTCTCACTGGCTTCCAGTTGTGTCCTGGCACTGATGGGAGCTGGGAAGCTTAGAGGGACAGGGTTCCCAGGCTCCACAGCAGCAGCTCAGCGGCACAGACACCCCTGGCCGGAGCCACACGGTGCTCCCTTTTTCGGACACCTGAATAACACCCCTCTGCTTGAAATCGGGAGCCATTTCTCTTTTCTACCCCCTATGTCAGCAGGGAGCCTGTTAATCTGTCTGTATTGTCTATATCCCAAGGCAACTTAGCAAACGGGCGATGGGGTGGGTGGGCAAGGGAATCTTAAACAGAAACCTTACTCTAAGGCTGCTCTGGTCCAACAGGGATAAGAAAATGGGTCTGTCCTACCAGAGCGTCCCCAGGCCTTCACTGCAGCAGGCACACTGTGGCCGCTGTGGATCCCGGCGGAGAACAAGTCACAGGTTCACCAAGCCTCCTCCAAGACGCAGGCTCTCCTGAGGCACTGCCAGGACAGCAGTCCACAGCCACCGTGCCCTCTAGCTCACAGCAGAGAGACCGCATGTTTGGATCTCTGCTGCCCAAACTGTCACCCATAAAACAGGCATCACTTGCTTGCGCTCCAGTTTGAGATCCCGGATGTGAACAGCTACCGTGGGATGGGCACGCTGGGCACGGAAACACCAAGGGAGGTGGCAGCCGCAGCACCCGTGACTCCGTAGCGGTGCCTGGTGCAAAGCAGATGCTCAGGAACGTTAGCCGCTGCCACCCCGGGCAACAGTAGACTCTGGAGGCCAGGGGAAGGGGGCACGGACCGTGTTGGCTTCAGTCTCCTGGAGCTGGACAGTTTGAGGGGGGCCCAGATGTAGACCCTTGCTTGCCTTGGGGATGTGTCATCAAGTCTACAGAGCTCTGGGGACAAGGTCTCTTGCAGCAAACCTTGGCCTGGGCAGGAGGAGCTTCAAGGTCACAGCAGAGGAAAGCCAGGTGGCTCCCACCCCATGCCCTTCTTTTGGCTCAGCCTCTACTGCTGCCCGCCTGGGTGCCACCTTGGTACCCTCTCAAAGGATGAGGGGGCTTCGCTGAAACGGTTAAGAGCTCGTGTTGTGCTTCTTTTTCTTTCTTTATGTCCCTAGAGACCCTGCTCACCTTTCTGTGCCTACCCTCCCCACAGGCTCCCCGCTCCTTCCCCACAAGCTTCCTTAAAGGTCCCTTGTGGCCAGTCACATTTTGGGTGGCCCATAGAGGCCTCACCCTGCCTGGAGGATTCTCACCCCACAGAGTGGGCCCTATACAGGATAAGGCCGGTTCCAGCAAGATGTTCTCAGGAAAGCAGGTCCTGGGGGACAAAAGGACACCCCTCTTTGAGGGCACAACGCAGGGGCAGCTCTAGAACCTTCCATTCTAGAATCTGCCCCTGCTTTCCCAGAGTCTGCCCTGCCCCCCACCAGTCCACACCTGTGTTACTTCCCACCCATAGCTCTCAGCCCTGCTCAATGCCCCCATCCCATCAGCCTCCTCCAGCCCCGTCTCACTCTAGCCCTTCTGACACAAGTCAGGCCTCAGCCCTGCTCCTCCACCCCAACTCCCTGCACTGAGCTGGCGCACCCCGTCCCCTTCCACGACACCCTGCCCTCCATGAAGGGCAGTGCCAGGCGAAAGCTGGGGCAGCAAAACTTCATGGAGCAGGTGCGCGAGTGCAGGAACAAGGGCTGCCCGCTCTCTCCCAGGAAGATCAGCTCTGGGACCTTCTCCAAAGTCGACCTGGCCTCCGCCTCACGTGAGCGCACGCAGCACAACGCCAAGCTGGCCTCTGACCTGCGGGCCAAGCGCCGCGCCATGGTGAGGCGGGCAGCAAGCCGGCAGCCGCCCTCCAGCCCAGCCCCGGCGGGCCCCTCCCGACCCCACTGAGGCACCTCCCTGCCAGTCTGGCACCCTCTCCGGAGGCCAGGGCTCCTGCAAGCTGGCCACTCCCGGTTCAGAACGCCTCGAGAGCACCAGTGCCAGAGAGGAAGGGGAAGGCCAACACTGCCCCCCAAGGATGCTGCTTCCCAAGCTTGCCTCAGCCAAGTTCAGAAATGTGCACATGGGGCGCCTGGGTGGCTTAGTCGGTTGAGCGTCCGACTTTCGCTCAGGTCACGATCTCGCGGTCCGTGGGTTCGAGCCCCGCGTCGGGCTCTATGCTGACTGCCAGCTCGGAGCCTGGAGCCTGTTTCAGAGTCTGTGTCTCCCTCTCTCTCTGACCCTCCCCTGCTCACCCTGTCTCTCTCTCTCTCTCTCCTAGAAATAAATAAAAATATTAAAAAAAAAAAAAGAAATGTGCACAAAGGACACGGGGCCTGTCCATGTCCCCCGCCAGGGGCTGGGGTCTGGACACAGTGGCCACCCTCCACCCCTGCAGGTGGCTATCAAGATCATCTCCACTGCTGAGGCCCCTGTGGAGTTCTCCCAAAAGTTCCTGCCTCGTGAGATATCATCACTCAACGCTACCTATGAGCACCTGAATGTGGTAGGCAGAGGCCCTGAGGCAGCCGGTGCCCGTCCTGCCCGTCCCCCACTGCCAGCCCTCCCCACCCCAGCTGTCCAGCCCCCCACTCCACCCCCCGCCCCTGGGGACCCTTCTGCTTGGGGCCCAGCCCCGTCCCGAGACCCTGATCCAAGGCACTGGACAGCCCTCCTTGGGCGACAGCAGGTGGGCGGGGCCTGGCAGGTGCAGCTCTACGAGACCTACCAGGGCTGCCGGTGCTCCTACTTGGTGCTGGAGCTGGCAGCCCGCGGCGACCTGCTGCAACACATCGACTGGGTGTCCGAACAGCGCTGCAGCCCGGGGCTGGGCGAGCAGGGGGCCCGCGGCCTGTGCTGGCAGCTCGTCAGCGCCGTGGCCCACTGCCGCGGCTCCGGCATCGCGCTTCGGTGAGGGCGCTGCCCCTCCTCGGCCTGCCCCACACCTGAATCGAGGCCACCCGCCTGAGCCCAGGGCCAGCACCTCTTCCCCTTCCCCACGCAGGGACCTCAAGTGTGAGAATATCCTGCTGGGTGACCGAGGCCTCCTAAAGCTGACCGGTGAGCCTGCGGCCCAGCCCCCACCCCCCTACACTGGTGATCCCAGCCAGGCTGGACCCACAACCCTCCCAGGAGGCCCAGTCTGACCCCTGCCCACAGCTGCACTTACAGACACCCACGCACAGCGTCCCCCCCCCCCTGGCCAGGGCGCTCTCACCCTCCTGCTCCTCACGCGGGGGACTCCCTGGCCTGTGCCCCCCCCTCCACACACAGACTTTGGCTTCGCCAGCCAACCGGGCTTCAACAGCTCGCTGCTGAGCACCTTCTGCGGCTCCGTGGCCTACACAGCCCCGGAGTTCCTCCTGAGCAAGAAGTACAACAGGGAGCAGGCCGACCTGTGGAGCCTGTGAGTGGCGCCCGCAGGGACCCCAGCGTCGGCAGGCCCCGCGGGAGGGCAGGGGGGGACGCACGCCCTGAGGAGTTTGCGCCCCCAGCGGCATCATCCTGTATGCCATGGTGACCGGGAAGCTGCCCTTCAAGGAGCGCCAGCCCCACCACATGCTGCACCAGATGCGCCGTGGCCCCACCCTCAGGCCGGGCATGTCCCCAGGTGAGTGAGAACACCCTGGGTCCCTCCCGAGTCCCAGCACGGGCCTGGAAAGCAGGCAGCCAGAGAGACACCCGGGTCCAGAGAAGGGTCATGCTGTGTGGGGGAAGGAGTGGCATGGGTGACTGACCTGCACCCCACCCCCAACCCAGGCTAGGGTAAATGTATCCCAGCAACCAGGGGCCAGGGAGGCTGAGCTGGAGGAGGCCTGGACTCAGACTGCTCGTCTGGAAAGGCAGTAGCCCCACCGGGCTCTGCACCAGCCCAGGGCACGCTGCCCTCCCTCTCTGAGCCCCGACCTCAAGACTGGTGAAGCACAGACTCTCTCAAGGCATTTGGGGGGGTCCCAGTGGGCTGACTCCTCTAAGCTGCCAGCATCGTTGACAGTGACAGACATGGCTGGGGACGGAGAGGGTGGGCAGTGTGAGGGAGGCCACAGCTGTGAGCCCTCGCCCACAGAATACCAGGACCTGATCCGGGGCCTGCTACAGCTGCGCCCGTGTGCACGCCTGGGCCTGCAGCAGGTGGCCACGCACTGCTGGATGCTGCCCGTCACACGTATGCCCTTCGGCACCATGCTCAGGATGCCGCCAGGTGGGATGGAGGCCTTGGGGGGCGGTGGGCAGGTGCTGGCCCCTCAGCACCCCTCCTGATCCCCCACTGCTGCCGGTTGCTGGGAAGCCGGCTAAGCTTGAGCACACAGAGCCTGGCAGAGACTCGGAGCCTCCGGAGCCTCTGAGGCAGTGCCCCCAGCAGAGGGGACCTCACCTCGAAAGCGCTTTTAGGCAACCGCCTGAGCCCCCTGAGCCCACAGAGGCCGGCTCAAGAGGAGGCACAGGCTCTGCCCAGCTGGGGCTCTGGAGCATGAGGCCAGGCAGCCTGGGGGTGGGTGCCTCCAGGTAGCTACCATGGCTGAGCTCCCCACCTGCCATCAGGACCATGCCTGGGCACTACCTGGTCAACTGAGCACGGGTGGGCACAGGCGAGGCCAGATAAAGCTTTTATTTTGTGGAGGGGATGTGGATGTCTCTGTGCAGGAAGGGGCAGCCAGCCACAGGGAATCATCCCGAGAGAACACGAGTCCACACACCCCCACGCCAGACCGTTAGTTGGGAGAGAAAACTAGAGGGTACCGGAAAGGAAGGAGATACCTCGTACCCACGAAGCACCCAGCCTCGAGGGGAGGAGCCACAGTGGACCCCCGGCTTCACGGGCAGCGCCAGGACTGAGGACACAGGGAGTGGGGGTGCTGGGAACGCTCGGGGCAGCAGGCCGCACTCCAGTGCCCGAGTGCGAGGGACCTGGGAAGGCCAGGACTCTGGGCACAGCAGGGGGAGCGCCACGCTGACCCGCTGCCAGGCCTGGCCTGGCGGCTGAAGAACTGAGGGACCACACAAGGAGCTGGGGGAGAACAAGTCTCTTGAACCCATAGGAGGCACCAAGGTGGCGGAGGGTGGGCAAGGGAGAGGTTTGGCAAAGAACAAGGATGCAGGCACATCGGGGAGATGCTCCGAGTGTGTGTCAGGCAAAGGGCTCGGACGCTCAAGGAAACCGACCAGGGGTAGGGCCTGGTCAGTGGGGACAGCAAGTACATCACACCAGGCCAGGGCTGGAAGCCACCAGCAGGCGGCTGAGGGCCATACTGTGGCACAGGTCAAGCAGGAAGGTGGAGAGGATGATGGGGAGACAGCGCCCAACAAGCGCTCCAAGGACAGACCAAGGGGTGCACCCAGGACAGGCTGACGCTGGTCAAAATCTTACCAGGTCAGTCCTTTGAAGCTGGGTCTCAGGCAGGGCACGCTTAGGACCCCAGAACGGAGGACTGGGGGGGGGGGGGCTGGCAGCAAAGGACATCACTCCCACCTGGACACCCACGGGTGGGCAGACCTCGACAGCGCCCTGGGAGGTCGCTCAGGCTTACACCGCTGATCTGTCCAGCCCATCGGCCATCTTCCTGGAGGCACCCAAGAGTCCTAGAGCGTGGCTAGCTCTGGCTGACAGTGCTGCTCCACGGGGCCGAGGTTCTGGAAGCCAGGGGGTACACAGAGGTAGCCTCACCCTCCCAGGCTCATTGGACATCGCCCTAGAGATCCTCAGCAGGGAGCAACCGCTGAGCAAGGACAGAGGCCTGCAGCTGAAGCTCAGGTGGGTGTGGCCCCTCCAGCTCGGGGCTCCGGGGCCCGTGCGTGCCGTTCCTGCTCCTGGCGGTCCAGCTGCTGCAGCTGCCGCTCCACGTCCTCAGGCACCTGCACCTCCAGCAGGTTTTCCATGCCCTGCTCTGGCTCATCCCCAATGAGCACCTGCCAGCAGGGGAGGCAGGTGAGCAGCTGGGTGGCATACCACAGACACCCAGCCCCTTCCCCACAAACCCTGCACCCACCTGAATGAGTTTCTCACAGGCCACCCGCACGTCGGGCTCTGGCTCCCAGCTGTGTAGCTCACGCAGGATCAGGTAGGCTCCCTGGCTCCTCACCTGCTGCCGACCAGGTGCTGTGGCCGTCAGCTGAGAGAAGGCAAAGGTTATCTACACATCAGTGTGCCCGTGTTGGGGGCGGGGGGCGGGTATGTTAGGAGTGGGTGTGAACACAGCAGGGCCTCTGCTCACCAGCATGATGGCTTCAATGAGCATCTTTCGGATGTCGGCATCAGGCTCTCTCTGCTTGTCGGGCGGCAGATACTGCAGGTCTACAGGCAGCCCTGGGTGGATGGGGGGAGCCACTGGGTGCAAGCACTGGGTATCCAGGCCGCCCCTGCCTCTGTAAGCCCCATCCGTGCTCAGCAACTCACCAGCTGGAAGGTTTCAGAAGGGGTCCTGACCTGGCATCTTCTCCCCCCCACCCCCCCCACTGGCGTGCCCTTCTGCCCAGCTAACGTGCGGCTCCACCCAAGCCACTCACGCTCCATCTCCTCCTCGGAGAAGTCCTCAGGGCCAGCCAGGGGCAGCAGCAAGAAAGGGAGAATGTCCACCTCGGGCCCGAGCAACCACTCGTGGTGTCCTGGGGGGGGCAGAAATGCGGGCCCGTCTAGCAAGGCCCCAAGCCATCTCTCCGTCTCAGGCCCCCAACCGTAACACCCCCACCCCTACTCACGATGCTCGAAGCAGCAGTTGCGAAGAGTCCCCACCACCCCGCCCCTGCGCACCGAGGAGTCTGGGAACTGGGTAAGGGGCAGCAGCCGCTGGACCACGCACCTGAAGGAAGGGGTCACTCAGTGCCATCCCTGTTCACTTCGACCCCCTCCCCGCGGGCGCCCCGGGCCTCACCTATCCGGGTCCAGCAAGAAGGCGCGCGCAGCGGGACGCTGGCTGAGGTTGGAGAGCATCGGCCCCAGGTAATGCAGGGGCGCGCGGGCATTGTACCCAGGCGTGCAGAGCGCGCGCACCAACCGCTCCAGGCGGGACTCCCCCGGCTCCGCGACCTCCAGCGCTGCCATCAGTGCGGCACACGGTGCCTCTTCGCGGCTGAGGTTGGCCAGCACGGCGGCCGCCTCCTCGGCCCAGGGCCACTGTGGGTCCAACGCGCGGCCCAGCAGGCGGGCGGGCAGCTCGGGCTCGGCCTCCAGCAGCGGCCCGTGCAGGCCGGGCTCGGCAGCGAGGTTGACGAGGGCGCGAGCGGCGTCGCGCGCCGGGGCCGGGGCCGGGGCCGCGGCCAGCTCGACCAACGCCCGCAGCAGAGCCGCCTGGCCGGCTAGCAGCGTCCGACCGGGCTCGGAGCCGGTCAGCTCCAGCACGTGCCGCGCCGCCTCCGCCTGCAGGTCCGCCCGCGCCCCAGGCGCCAGGAAGGGCAGCAGCTTCGCCACCTCCGCCTCCAGGCCGGCCTCTGGCCTCGGCGGCCCTTCGGAAGTTAGCCCACAAGCCGCCGCGCCCGCACCGGCCCCTGCTTCGCCCATGCCGCCGCGGATCGCCCCCGCCGCCATCACCAGGGCTGAGGCCCCGCCTGCCAGAGGAGCGGAAGCTGCGGCGGCCAATCGGGGGGCTGGCGGCTCTGCGCGCGGGGCGGGGCCGGCGTGCGGGGGCGGGGCCTCACGCAGGCCCTGCGCTTTGTGCCGCCCGCGCTGGAGCGGGTGACCCTGGCGGCGCGCGCACTGAGGGAGTGAATGCAGTGTGACCCCAGTCCCCGAGAGGCCAGCCGGCCACTGGTAGCTGACGGATGACACGGGCCCTCTTCCTTCGTGGGTGGGGCAGAGATCCGTCCTCACTGGAAAAGTCACATGGTCCATTACTTTTATCTTTTCTTAAATTTCAGTAATTTTTTTTAATCCTTATATTTTATTTTTGAGACAGAGACAGAGCTTGAGCCGGGGAGGGGCAAGAGAGAGAGGGAATCACAGAATATGAAGCAGGTTCCAGGCTCTGAGCCGTCAGCACAGAGCCCGACACAGGGCTCGAACCCACGGACCGCAAGGTCATGACCTGAGCCGAAGTCGGCCGCCCAACCGACTGAGTCACCCAGGTGCCCCTAAATTTCAGTAATTTCTACCCCCAACGTGGGGCTCGAACTTACCACCGCAGCATCAAGAGTCACATGCTCCTTAGACTGACCCAGCCAGGCACCCCTGGTTGACTAATGTTGGACCAGCCTGTATTTCGTGACGTCATCTTCACCTGGTCATGATATACTTTTGTTTTTTGTAATGCTTCTTTTGAGGGACGCCTGGGTGGCTGAGTAGGTTAAGCGTTGGACTGTGGCTCAGGCCACGATCTCGTGGTTTGTGGGTTCGGAGTGCCAGGTCAGGCTCTGTGTTGACATGGAAAAGCCTGGAGCCTGCTTCGAATTCTGTATCTCCCCCTCTCTCTCTGCCCCTCCCCCGCTGGCGCTCTGGCACTCAGCCTCTCTCTCTCAAAAATAAACATTAAAAAAAAAAAGAGAGAATTCGTTGGTGGGTACGGGAGTGGGGGAGGGGCAGAGAGCCGGAGAGACGGTCCCAAACAGGCTCTGTACTTTGCAGTGATCTCATGACTGTGAGATCATGAAACCAAGAGTTTCAAGCTGAAACCAAGAGGTGGACACTTAAGTGACTGGGCCACCCAGGCAACCCTCTCATGTTGGTATTTTCACAAATATATTTTTACTTATGTTCTTAAGCTCTATGCCCAATGTGGGGCTTGAACTCCTGAGTTCAAGAGTCACACGCTCTACCGACTGAGCCAGCCAGGTGCCCCTCTCATGTTGGTATTTTAAGAAGAATTTATTGGTTTTATAACGGATCTCACGGTCTGTGGGTTCAAGCCCCGCTTTGGCCTCTGTCCTGACAGCTCAGAGCCTGGAGCCTATTTTGGATTCTGTGTCTCCCTCTCTCTCTGCCCCTCCCCAGCTCGTGCTCAGTCTCTCTCTGTCTCAAAAATAAACAGACATTTAAAAAAAATTTTTTTTTAAAAAAAGGATGTAAAAGCTAGACTGGCCCTTCACAAAGGCTCACCCCACAGCCGGTGCACACCTGGGCCCCACAAGTTGTCTGACCAGTGTCCTGGGAGGTTCCAACAGCTCAGAAGGAAGCCAAAGCCCTCTGAGACCCTGTACTTCACATACAAGGTATGTCGCCTGACATTTTTTAGGTAGAAGGGTCCAAAGGGTTGCTGTCCCTATTGCATCCTGAATAAAGCGCATGGGACCCCATCAATTCCTCTCCCTTCCAACCCAAGGGTAACAAAGGCACCAACAGACTCTGGTCTCACCTGCAGCAAATGACTGCAGGCTCCCTTTAATACACACACACACACACACACACACACACACACACACGCACGCACACACACACCAGTGGCCACCTAGTACCTCTCACTCCCTGCATGCTTGGCCACTTGCTGGCCTACAAGTTCCTACTTCCAGCTTGACCCCAGTAATTTACTGACAAACACTGGCTGAGTGCCTGAGCAGGGACATGCCCGCACGGGACAGGCCCGTCTGCAGGCAGACAGGCCCACCCCCACCAGGAATACTGCTGCACCAAGTGCTGGCCATGCCAGACTCCAGCATGGCCCCAGCTCCTGCCTTGCGCATGCAGCTGGCCACTGGGAGATTCACAAGACGCCAACAGGACCTCCCTGTGCACCCTTGCAGCCCCCAAAGATGAAGGTGGCATCCAGTTTTCTGGCCATGACCTCTGGACTGTATTTTCAGGGGAGAGCATTTGGTTGGAGAGCCACTTCCCGACTCCAGGCTGGAGGGAAGAAGAGACTGGGGCCACCAGCCTGGTCAGCTGCAGCTGTCAGGGTTCGTGTCACCTGGTAGAAAGTAGCGCTGCAAGGTGGGCTGCAGGAGCAGTGGTGGCAGCGGACGGGCAGGCCTGGGCCAGCCCGGGGGGAAGGGCCGAAGCTCCACCCTTGGCAGGGGCAGTTTCAGCATCCGGATGGAGCCGTGGAGGGTACTGCCCACCTGGACCCGGGACGGCATCTGGCCTGTGGGGCAGCAGGACGGTGAGGTCTCAGGCTGGGGTGAAGCCGGAAGTCAAGGGCCAGTTCTCCCCCTGTCCCCACTCACCCCTTAGTCTCATTGCACACCTCTGGACCTGGGCCTCCTGAAGCCGGGGGATGGGAGAGTGCCTGGAGGGGCAAGGAGATGGGTTGGGCCCCGCCGGCCCCTCAGCTGCCCCACACAGGCCCTGTCCAGCCTGGTGGCCTCCTCACCGGCCATCGCAGGGCTGTGGGAGCACCGTGTTGGGTGCAGGCAGGCGCAGGCTCAGGCGCGGGCTCTCGGGCTCCTCCTGCAGGAGACTCTGCTGCAGGGCCCGCTGCTGCTCGCAGAAGAAGTTGAGCGCATCAATTGGCTCCATGTCCAGCATCTGTGACCGTGACCAGTCTGTCTGCTCCAGTGGCGGTGGCTCATCTGGCAGCGCAGTGGGGGCTGAGGAGCGCAAGTGGCCCTCAGACAAGGGGCAGAAGTGCAGCAGCATCTCTGACAGCGAGCGTCTGGTCCGCCAGAAGCCCACTGGTGAAAGCATCTGCTGGGTTTGGGACTCAAGGGTGGCCATGTCCAGCTCCCCAGGTGAGACCACCAATGAGGGGGCCCAGGAATGGGCCGAGGATGTCCCTGAGACATGAGCAGGTGACCCGGAGAGCCGGGAAGTCTGAGACGAACACTCCTTGGGAGGAGAGTAAAGCTCTGAGGTTTTGGAGACCTTGGGCAGCACCTCTGACAACCTGGCTACATGAGGCTGCAAGGACTCCATCTGTGGGGGGAGCAGCCAGTTGACAGCACCGCCAAGCCCAAGGCAGAGGCTCTCCCTCCCCCAGCAGAGAGGCCTGGGTGGTGCCATCCCTGGCCCCGGGCTTGGGGCTGCAGACTGCTCCCTGGGGAGGAGGAGGAGGACCCCCACAGGTGGGGGTGGGGGTTGGGAGACAACAAGAGAGGACCAATGAGCACAGGTACAGAGCAAGGCAAAAAGCCAGACAGCCTTACCTGGACCTCCCCCCCCCCCCAACGGCCTTGGGAAAAAACTAGAGTCTCCACTGGTACGGGCCCCGCCCCACCCCTGTCTACCCAGACCTGCAGCCGCCGGATCATTTCCTCCAGCTTCTGCCAGCAGCATTTGCGCAGTGAAGCCTTGGAGCTGGCGTCCGGGCCCTGGACCCAGGTCATCTCCTTGAACAGGAAGCCCTGTGGATCCTGAAGGCCTAGCGCTTCCAGCAGCTCCTTGAGCCCGGGCCTGGGACAGTGGTGAGCCGCTGGCTTACCCAGAAGCCTTCCCCAGCTGGCGGTGAGGGGAGCGCGACTCACCGGCAGGAGTCTGGCGAGTAGAGGAAGTAGGACATGAGCTCCAGCACCACCTCGTGGGAGGCCAGGGAGCAGGCCAGGAGGAGCTGCAGGGCCAGCATCACGAACTGCTTTTGCGTCTGGTCCTGAGCGCAGAGGAGCGGAGAAGCCCCATCGGTGCGGGAGGCCCGGGGCGGGGCTGGGGCGGGCCGGTGGGCGGGGGAGGGGTGGGGCTGGGGCGGGGCGGGGGGGGGGGGCACCTGGAGGCTGGGGGCGGGCCGGGGGGCGGGGCAGGAGGTGCACCTGGAGGCTGGGGGCGGGGCTGGGGGGCGGGGGAGGCAGGGCTGAGGCGGGGCTGGAGGCTGGGGGCGGGGCTGGGGGCGCACCTGGAGGCTGGGGGGCTGGTCCAGATTGAGCAGACGCAGCAGGACGGCCTGCAGCCGGTCGCAGAGGTCCTTGCTCAGGTCGGGCCGCAGCCGCAGCAGCGCTCGCAGGAGGCGCACGCAGTCGGCCCAGGAGGCTTCGTCCAGCAGATCTATGAACAGCGAGGCCAGGCCCTCCACCGTGCCCGCCTCGGGGTACGCCTGCGAGACCGCTTGCTAAGGCCCTGTTCCCCGGGCTGCCCGCCTCCTCACCAGCCTGTGCTCCCCAGGTGCCCAAGACCCCGAACCTTCAGGGTGAAGATGGGGAACAGCTTTTTGAACCAGTTCTGGCAGACAAAAAACTGCAGGAACTGGGGCAGATGCCCGTAGCGCTCCTCCCAGAGCGAGCGCGCGTCGGGGTGCGGGAGGCCGCGAGACCCCTGGGTCCTGGCGGAGGCTTCCTGAGAGGGCGCGGGCCGCCGGGGCTGCGGGGTCGAATCCTCGGAGGTCTGTGGGAGCAGCGGCAGCAGCTGCAGGCCCCTCCTCTCCGCTCGGCCCCGGGCAGCCCCGCGCCCTGGCGGGGGCCTACCTCTGCCTCCTCCCACTGCACGCGTGGGCTCGGGAAGTCCGAGGCCCAGTCCAGATACAACTCTTGCTGCTGCTCCTCCTCCTCCTCCTCCTCCTCCTCCTCCTCCTCCTCTTCCCCCAACCACCACCGGATCAGCTTCTGCTCCCACTTGGTGTGGCGCCGCCGCCTCCTGCGTCGCCGCAGAAGCCACATGTCGTCCTGGCTCCCACCTGACTGCAGAGGGGAGAGCACGGGTGGCCGCTGGCCCCTTTCCACAGAGCCCGAGGGCGAGCCCCCCAGCCTCCCCTTGCCTTGGATCTGGCGTGGCTGGTGGGCGGGGTGAGGGCTCCGGGGCCGCTGACCTCCCCCTGCGGCCACATCTGCTGCAGCACCGCGGAGTTGGGCACGCTGCCGGGGAAGCGCACGGGCCTGCGCCAGTTCTGCGGGTGACACGCGGGGCGGGCTGAGAGCCCAGCTCCACGCACCCGGACCCTGGCCAGTCCAGCTCGCGGCCGGGTCTCCGGGAGCCGAGCCGGGCTCGCACTCCCGCGCATGTGCACCTGTGTGCAGCCTCCGGCCGGCACAGACCAGGAACTAAAACTTCATCCTGTTTTTGAAAGAGGAACTACCGGGAGCTGGGCAGCGGCCCAACAGCGGGCTGCCCCCTGCATTCTGCGACACAAGGGGACACTCTGCCCCCTCAGTGGGCAGAACGTGCAACTCTTGGTCTCAGGGTTGAGAGTTTAATCCCCACACTGGGTGTGGAGATTACTTAAAAATAAAATCTTACAAAGAAAAAACGAACACTCTGCAAAAGCTGTTTTCCTGTAACCAAAGTGACCAGAAAGCCAGTGGAGTATACAATGTAATTACATCTTCTAATCACAGCTTTTAGAAAGCAACTTGCGGGAGTTTCCTAATACTTCTGCAACTTGCGAATGAAGAACCCTGGCTTTTGCTCGTCAACGGGACGCAATCTGGGTTGCTACCAAATCTGTGCCACCCGGGTTGCAACTGCCTCTTTTCTCAGTCAACACCCAAACACCCATGCAGACAGGCAAAAAGAACCTTTAGAAACCAGACAGAAGGGCAGTCAGGGAGGCATCAACTGTGATGACTGAGTAGGAAATCTGGGCAGCCGCTGGCCTCTGGGGCGCCCTGTCACCCCCACACTCTCTCTCCATAGGAGCTGGCCCCCGGCCTGGAACAGGGATGTCTTTAAGAGCTGTACTAGGAGCCTGGAGAGGGGGGGCTGAGGGTGTGGCCGGACGGTACAGCTGAGGGACGGATCAGCGACCCCCTGGCCAGATGACAGCGGCAGAGTGTGCAAGGACTCAGGTGGGAGACGCTGGGAAGCTGGCAGATTGTAAGGGGCCAGCTCCCACAGACTCTGCTCCTCTAAAGGGAGAGGACTCTGGTCTTCCAAGCAAAGTCTATGTGGCACCTGCCCACCCAGCACTGTCGCTGGGGAGGAGGAGTGCGGGCACAGTCAGAGGCTCTGGCTTTGCCCAGTGTCTTCTCCGGGCGTCTCTGGGCCTCTGGCAGCTGGTTCCCGAGAGCACGGGGTCAGGGGCACCCAGAAGAGCAGCACCATAGCTGAGCCGGCCAGGAGGGGCGGGGAAGGCTGCGGGCGGCTCGTAGGTCAGCTTGGACCAGGAGATTTCCAGCGAAGCAAGATGGGGTTCACGAGAAAGTTGCCCTTGGGGGGAGGTGGGCCTCTCTCACCTGGTAAGCCTGAGTGGTGGCAGGGAAGAACCCTCGGAGGTTGGAGAGAAGCTCTTTGGGCCGCCTCTTCATCAAGAGGGGAATCTGGGGACGGGAGAGGCGCTCAGAGCCGAGCATGGACCCCCAGTGCCCCTGCAGCCCCGCTCTTGGGTGGGCAGCGCCCACCCGCTGGGTCCCTCACCCTGCGCTCTATGTGGGGGGATGGCAGGTCCGCAACCACGGGCTTCTCCCCTTGGAGCCGCTCCAACTGCAGTTGCAGGTCCAGACTGAGGCCCAGACGGCCGCTCAGGGAGGAGCGGGCCAGCAGCTGAGTGACGGAGAAGTTGCAGGGCGGGGGGGCAGGGTCACGGGGGCAGGGTAGAGGTGGGAGGGGTGGGAGGCCTTACCTGGGAGGCCCTGCTGTGCACCCCCCGGTGGGAGGGCGGGCTGGGCAAGGGGACTCGGGGAGGGTGGGCAAAGCGCTGGCCCCCGGCTCCCAGGTCCTGGAAGGGGAGGGCAGCTGGCCCTGCCGGGGTTTCAGCGCAGACCTCAGCCTGCCTAGGACTGAGGGCAGCTGTGGGCAAGGCACACACATCCCAGCTCTCCCTCTCCAACGTGAGGGTCACAGTGCTCCATTGCTGGGACTCTCTTCCAGAATGCACGCCCTGGAACGGGTGCAAAAGGGATAGGCAGCATCTGAGGCCCCGGGGTGAAGGGACGGGCCGGGGTCCGGGCTGAGGCTGGACGGAGGCTTTACACCCACCAGGAAGCCAGGGCCATAGACCAGATGCATATAGTTGTCAAAGGCCTCCTGGCGCTGTTGCCAGGAGGGTGGGCGATGGGCTTCTGGGACCACCAGCCCCAATCTCAGCAGCTGAAGGTCTCGATCCCGGGAAACCAGGGCTTCCAAGTCCTGGGGTGGGGGGTTAGGAGTCAGCCCATTCCTCCTTCAGTCTTGCCATCTGCTTCCCAGACAACCACGGGAATCCCAGGCCTGCCCCACGGACTGAGAGAGAGTGGCCCGAGCCCAGGGAAGGTTGAGGGCTGGGGCCTTGGGGCGGTGAAGGGGTCAGGGATTGGGGGTCGGGGATTGGGGGTCGGGACCCACCCCACCTCCACCAACACCGGCTGCTGAGGTGTTGCCGTCTGGTGATGGATGAAAGACAAGTCCGTGCTGCAGACAGGGATGGGCACAGGTGGGACACTAGATGTCATCACCAGTGGGGACTGGGCAGAGGCTGGGACAGGCACCGGGGGTAGGCCCGGCCAGGCCTCTGTCAGGACACAGCCAGCAGCCAGGAGTGGGGATGCCGGGGCTGGGACGGGACTGGGGCGGCCTAAGAGGCCCGTGGGCTCTGGTTCCTTGTGCTGGGTGCACGCAGCCAGGCCCGGACTCGGGGACGCTGGGCAGGGGCCTGCAGCACAGCTCAGCTGGGCCTGCCAGCACACCTGAGACCGGCCACCCCGTGTAGGGTAGCGAGCCTCTGCAGCCGGGCCGAGGTCAGCGACTCCTGGTTGGTCAGTGGCAGTGGAGGGTCATCCACCACGTCAGGGACCGTCTGGCACAGCTTCTGAACAGGAGAAAGGAACCTATAGCTCTGGCCTCAGGGGGCTCATCTGCCACAGCAGCCTCTCCCTGCCCATCCCGTGCTCACTGAGTACCTTAACCAGGTAAGATGTGGGCAGGTAGAGCCTATGGGACACCAGGCAGAGTCGGGAGCCCAGAGCCAGCACCAGGTCCCCACTGTCGCTGCAGAAGGTCAGGGCCTGAGGGGCGCCATTCAGCTGCAGGAGCCTGGAGGGAGTGTCCAGGGCAAGAGACCAGACCTGCTCCAGAGTAGGAAACTGAGGCACTAGCAGGAGCAAGCCCCCTTTCCCCTGTCCAGCCTCTGGGCTCTGCTGGGGGCAGAGGCAGGGGAGCCCAGCTGGCTGCCCACAGGCTCCCAACCCCTCCCTCCCTCCTTCCCAGCCCCAACCCACCTCAGCAGGCGGTTCTTGGCTGTCCAGATGCGAATGGTGCAGTCCAGGCTGGAACAGGCATACAGCTTGAGGGTGGGACAGCAACACAGGCCTGAGGGACCCGGGCTCGGGGTGAGGGGCCAGGGCCAGCTGATGGCCTGGGCTTTCCTTGTGCCCTGTCCCTCACCAGTGATGCGGTCCATGGGGTCGTCCTGGGGCCGGTGATCATAGCGGAGGCTGTTGCCCAGGCCAAACTGCACCAGGCCATAGGTGGCGCTCTCCGGATCCTCGAAGCCGACAGTGACCCGCTTCCCCAGCGCACAGAGCGCGGTGGCCGGGTGGCGGCAGGAGAAGGTCCGCAGCAGGCTGAGGCTCTCCTCGGCGTAGGGGAAGACTCGCCACATCTTCACCGTCAAGTCTCCGCCTGTTCAGGCAGTGGCAGGGGCTGCGCCCTTGTCAAAGGAGGGGAGGGGTTCCCAGGCCAGCTCCGGGGGGGCAGAGGGGGTAGGGGAGGAGGGATACTGACCAGAGGACACGATAGAGTTCCAGGTAGATGCAATGGCAGTGACCGGGCCCGGGCTGTGTGCCTCGGTTTGGAAGACAGTCTTCGACCAGCGCCACTCGAGGACCGACAGGGTGCCATCCGTGTACCCCGCCACGGGCAGGTACCTACGCATGACATCAGCCAGTTGGCACGGGCACTATCGCGTTGCCCCACGTCGCCAGCTCTGGCACCCACCGGTTTTTGTCCTTCCGAGCCTGGGCCAGGTCACTGCCGCACAGCTCGCCCCCGTGTTGGCGCACGATCTCCCAGTTGGCAAACGCGCTGCTGGGGTCTATGAGGTGGCTGTAGAGGTGCAGGCAGCAGGGCCTGGGCGCAGGGGCCGGCGGCGGGCACACCCGGTTTAGCACGCGCATGGGGGAGCGTGCAGCGTTGGCACACACCAGGTGTCCGGCGCGTGTCAGCAGCCACAGCGCTTCACGCGGTAGGCAATAAAGCACCGAGGCTGCGCAGTCGTCGGGTTCAAGCAGCAGCGCGCTCACGGTGCGCCCCGTCGCAACCGACACCAGGTAGACCGAGCCATCGGCGCATGCGCACACAAGGCGCGCGGGCAGCGCGGGGCGCGCGGGCGCGGGCAGCGCAGGCACCGTCTGCAGGTGGAGCACCGGCGCTGAAAGCTGTGCCAACGGCGAGTAGAGCTCGCGAAGGAGCCACAGCCCCACGCTGCTCGCGCTCAGAGCGAGCACTGGCCAGCCGGGGCCAGCGGGCGCCAGCAGGCGGTTCACGTGCCCCGACGACACCGCTCGGGCGCTGCCGCTCAGCGCCACCTCGCCCACCTGTGCGGACACCTGCAGGTCCCACGTGCGCAGCGTCCCGTCCTGCGAGGCTGACAGCACGAGGGCGGTGTGCGGGAGCACGGCCACAGCCGTCACTGGGCCTGTGGGAGCGGCGCCAGGGGTTAGCGAAGGGGACCCCGAGACGCGAGCAAAGGAGCTAGGCGAGAGCAGGCGGAGATCCGGACGGCCCAGGGCTCTTACACAGGGCGGAGGGAGAATGGGCCTAGGTGGAATGGCGCACCTGTGTGGCCCACGAACACCATCCGGACCTGCCAGTCCGCCTCCCACACCTTGACGGTGCTGTCGCGTGAAGCCGTCACCACAGCCTCCACTTCCTTGCAGTAGGCCAGGTCCGAGATGGTGCTGAAGGGGAAGGGAGGCCTCTGCACACTCAGCACCTCCTGGGGTGGGAGCCCCCGCCGCCCTGCTGTGACTTGCTTTCCCTCCTGGATTCACCTGTCCGCCCTCACCCCACCTTCCTCCGGGTCCCTAGGCACCCCTCACGTTTTATGCAGGTCCCGGCGCACATCTACGAGAGCCCAGCTATGCAGATCAAAGGTGAGCACAGCCGAGCCATAGGCCGCGAAGCAGCCTGGGACTTGGCGGGAGGGCAGGGGTCCGAGAACCAAACGGGTGAGTCCACCCGCAGGGCTTGGTGGCAGCTGCAGAGGTGACCCACAGGGCACCAGGCGGCGACCCCCGGAACGGAACTTCCGGAGCACCAGGCTGCCGCCTGCCTCTGCCACTAGCAGCAGCCCCAGGCTGGGCACCGGCAGACAGCAGATGGGCTGGTGGCCTGGCCCCCTGTCCGGCCCTGGCTTGCTCAGCCACAGCAGGCTGAGGTCAGGCCTCAGGATGGCCAGCCCCTCGGGGCCCCAGCCCACAAAGCGGCCCACAGCACCCAGCGGGCCTGGCACTGCCACCAGCCCCGTGAGCACTGCTGGGGCACAGAGCTTCTCATAGGCCCAGCCGTCTTCTCTGTGCAGGTGCAGGCGGCCTGCGCCGTCCAGCACCACGAAGCGTCTGCCCGCTGGGTCTTGTGCCACCGAGCGCAGCCCAGCCGCCACTGTCAGGTGGCGCAGCGGCTCCAGCCCGTGTGTCAAGCGGGCCACGCACAGCTCTGCTCTCTTTTCCTGCGGGCCAGGGTGAGCAGGCCTGCATTCAGCTGGGGGAGGGAGGCACTGGGGGCTTACTAGGGACAGCCAGGGGAAGAAGTGGGCCAGAAGAGGCCTCGAGGCAGGTGCCACAGGCAAGCCCCACCTTTTCCACGAAGTCACGGAGGCCTGCACGTAGCAGCAGCCACAGCTGGCGGGCACGGGCGCGTGGGGCCATGTTCTGCCACTGCCAGCTGCTGGTAAAAAGCTGTGGGGCTGGCTCCAAAAACGACTCTGCGGGTGGCAGTGCAAACTATCACAGTGTGGTCTTGCCTCCAGAGGCTGGAGGCAGCCAGGGGGCCTCCTGAGGGCCCCACCGGATTAGGGGACTACCCAGGGGGTGCTGTGTCATGGCAGACAGAGCTGGTGCCTGAGTGAGACCCGTCGGGTGGGCGTCTGGGGCGGCGAGGCCAGGCCACCTCACCGTTCTTTTCCTTGAGCAGCCCTGGGTCCGGGACATCATAGCTGTCGGTGTCATACAGGTCGAGGTCCTGGATCAGGCTGTCACCTTCTACTGAAAAGGGGTTGCTTGCATCGGACACTCCAGTCTCCATTGCGGCGCCCGCAGGTCCAGGCCGCTCAACAGCCTCCACCGGCCGTTGCTAGGATACGGGCGGCAATAGGCCCCGCCTTCGACGCAGACCCCGCCCCACACGCAGCTCGGAGACTAGGTCCCCACGAAATCACAGAAATTTTTTATTGGAAACAAACCAGCTGCAGCAAAGTGACACTCAGTGCACGCTGCCCAATGGGCAAGGTAGGGGGGAGGGTGGTACAGGCGGGCGTCAGGGGCTGGCCAGGACCAGGGTGGTGACCGCAGGGGCCTGCTTACTGGGTCTCGGGCCCTTGGGCTGGAGTGTGCAGGCCCAGGCCTGACCCAGCACAAAATACAAAAATAAACTCTGTAGTCCAGCTGTCCCTGCCTGTGTCAGTTCGTCGGCGCAGGGCAGTGGCCCTTCCCACCGGGCCCCGTGCTGTCCAGCCCAACCACAGCAGGGCAGCTAGAGCCCGTGGGAAGGAGCAGACGTCTGCGGGCGGGAGCCGAAGGGCTAGGCGGGCGTGGCCTTGGGCGGCGCCGGAGCCGTGGGGCGCCCAGGGTCCGACCACCAGCCGGGGAGGCCTTGGGGCACCCTCAGGTGGGGGTTCCAGGCACTGGCTGAAGCTGAAGGAAGCTGGGGCCTCTGCTCCTCGTCCTCACATACAGATCACTGGGACCCTGGGCGGAAGGCGGCACACAGTGAGCTTCCGGGAGCCAGCTCCCAGCAGGCCAGGCAGAGAGGCGCCCACTCTGTCCCGTCCACCCTGGCTACCGAGAGCCAGGCCACCGCCACCGCCTCGCACCTGTCCTCCTCCATGGCGCTGGTCTCCTCGGGTCCACCCTCGCTGCCTCCGCTTCCGCTCTCCTCCTCCTCCTCCTCCTCCTCCTCTTCCTCCTCCTCCCCCAGCTCCATGTCCAGCTCGTTGCCCGCCTCCGAGGGAGTGTAGGTGGATCCGCTGGGGAAGGCGTGGGAAGGGGTCTAAGGACTGCCCGGCCCCAGCCTGTTGCTGACCCCAGGGAGGACAAAGTCGGGAGCGGGGTGGGTGCCGCTGGGGGACTGGTGCGGGGGCCGAGCCGGCGGAGGGCAGGGGTCGCGGGTGCAGAGCCCTCTGCGGGCCAGGGGGCGCGGGGGCACAGCCCTCTGTGGGCCAGGGCGCGCGGGGTAGAGTCAGCTGGGAGCCAGGGGGCGCAGGGGCTGAGCCCTCTGTGGGCCGGAGCGCTGGGGGCAGAGACGGCTGCGGGGCAGGGAGTGCGGGGGCCGAGCCGGCGGAGGGGAAAGGAGGCGGGCAAGTGCCAACCTGATGGAGCGGCAGCTGAAGAAGACAATCCGCTTCAGCCGCTTGTTGTAGAAGAAGTAGTTGAAGGACCAGAGGCTGCCATCTTCCCCGAAAGGATCTGAGTCCAAGTCCGGGTTGTAACTGGGGAGCGTGGGGCAAGAGGTGGCATGAAGGCCCAAGCACCACACACACCCGTGGCCCACCTGCAGGAATGCCGGCCCACCTGTAGATGTCACATTCGGACAGACAGATCTCCTCATCTACTGCATTCCAGAGCTGTGGCTTCAAGGCCTTGAAGTCCTCCCGTACGGCCGAAAACAGACTGCAGTTGACTGCGTTCACCACCTAGGATGGTCATAGTTGGGACTGGCTGTGACGCAGGACAGGAGGCATGAACCGGGCAGAGCCCAGGGGCCACTATGAGTCAGGAGGACAGTCGGGATGGCTGTGGGGCTGCGGATCCCTCCCCCCACCCCCCCCGACCCTCACCCAGCTGAGGCTGGGTTCCCTGCTGAACTCATGGCTTCGGGCTGTGCTGAAGTCATAGTCAGGCCGGAAGGACTCGTTGAGCGTGGCGATCAGGTAGAAGAGGGTCTTGCGGCTGCACTTGTCACTCAGTGGGCCCTCGTCCTCACCACCTTGGCTCTTGCTCAGTCTGCAGAGAGAAAAGCATCAGCCCAGCACTGCCACGTGTCCCACAGCCCACAGCAGACACACTCTGCCCCCACTTACCTGCTGGGGCTGAGGCCTGACGTCTGGGGGGGAGACAGTGCCTCCAGCACGTGGGGCTGGCCCTCCTGGCAAAACTGCTTAAACATGTGCTTGTCATCTCCCGCCATCTTACACGAGTAGCTCTCGATCCTGCAGGATGCAGAAGGGACCACGGGGCATGCCACCCATCAGGTTCAACTCGAGGGTCTCTGAGACACCAGCCTACACAACCGCCCCCCTCACCTGCCAATGATGTGGGCGTCTCCAGTCTCCACTGTCAGCTGCGAGTTGATGGCTTCGAAGCTCGAGTTCTCCAACAGCTTCATGTCCTTGGGGAGGGTGTCCTGTGCTTGGAGGGGCTAGTGCTGCCTGAGGATGGGAGGCCAGTCCATGAGTATCAGCCCCTGGGGCTCCGCCTCTAGCCTCCCAACTGGGTAAGCGGAGCCGTTGTAAACGAGCCCGGTCTCTCCTGCAGCTTACTCCTAAGCCCTCTGCACTGGCAGGAGAGGCAGATTAGATCCTGTTACCTGCGGTGGCGGTGGCGAGCTGAGGCTCCCGATCGGCCAGCCTTTCTCCCCGCCCCCACACTTGGGGGCGCACCGGGGATCTTGCTCATGCTGGGCCTCTGGTTTATCTCCCTGGACACTGCCCACCCCGACAGAAGTGCCTCCCCCACCGTTAAGGGTGAGGTTCACTGGGAGCCCGCGAAAGCATGAGACCCCTGCAGTACCCCTCCAGCCAAGCTCCTCAGCTAGAATAATAACCCCCACCGGGTTGGGATCCAGGACACCTGCGGATGGGGCCCTGCGGTCACCTGGGCACAGCGCTCTTCCCTGTTCTACAGACTCTCTCTAGCGAGGTAAAGAGGGGACCCATAGGCTTCCTCCGTTCTTCTCCGTAAGTGCGCCTAATTTCTTCGGAAATTAGTGACGCCACGGAACACAGGCAGACACCAAGACCCCCGAAGGGCCTGTCGACTGACCGCTAGCGCTCCAGCGTTAGCCTGGCCGCACCCGCCTCTCCGCCGGAGCTAAGGAAAACCCCAACTTAGCCGCGGAGAACTACAAATCCCAGGAGGCAGTGCGCCCCGGGATACGCGCACGCGCGCCGGCGCGAAGACCTCTGGGGGCTGAAGTTCTGAAGGCCCCGACACGGCAGCGGGCACAGAGCGGACACCTACCTGCCTGCGCAGCGCTGGGTCGCCGGGCCGGGTCTGGTCGGTTGACCTCCGCGCGGGTGAGGAGGCGGTGTGGGCTCCGGGCAGCGCGGACTCCTCAGGACCGGAGGGCGGCGCCGCGGCCTCCGTTCGGGCCGCACTGTATCCGGGGGAAGAAGCTCCGCGACGACGTCCCGTTACTCCCGGCCTTGCCGGCCCTGCCGGGCTGCCACCGCAACATAGCCTCGCCCCTGCAAGGCGACCGACTATCGCGACCGACCTGCCCGCCGACCGCCACAGAAGGCCCGAGAGAGCAAAGGACCGAGCAATCGACCTCTGCCTCTCCGGGCCGGACAACAACAAGCGTCCGCAAGGCCCGGCCCCCCGCCCCTGAATGGTCCGCTCCAGCCGCCGGGATCGAGAGCTCGGATAGCCATTGGGGGCGACTCCCGCCGTTCACCCCTACCTTCCACGTCTATTGGCTGCCCTGTCTGTCCGTCACTCTTCTAGCCCGAGCGATTCCCACCTCCTTTCCTGGCGCTCATTGGTTGCGGCTTCTCGCTTGTCCTGCCCCTGGTGTCAGCCCGCCTTCCCAGGAGTGGCTGGCCGACCGACGCGGGGTGGGCCTGCCCGCCGGGCGGCTTGCGGCTGGGAAGGATCCTGGGAACAGCGTCCAGCTCCGGACCGGCGCGGGGGGTAGACACGGACCGTTGGACTGCAGCCCCCGCCCGCCAAGCGTCTAGGTCGTGTCCATCCTGGGTAAGACAGGAGGGTCCGAACCGGTCCCCGACGCTCTGGCCACGGCCGGAACCTCAGTCTCGCGGTCCTAGTTTCCGGTCGGCGGAGGCGCTCAGGGGCCCGAGCCCACGGAAGCGAGCTTAGGGGACGGGACCGGGGCGGGACAGGAGATGGCGCCGCCTGCGGGCGGCGCAGCGGCGGCCTCGGACCCGGACTCGGCCGCGGTGCTCCTGGCTGTGCACGCCGCGGTGAGGCCGCTGGGCGCGGGGCCGGACGCCGAGGCGCAGCTGCGCAGGCTGCAGCTGAGCGCGGACCCCGAGCGGCCCGGGCGCTTCCGGCTGGAGCTGCTGGCCTCGGGACCTGGCGCGGTGAGCGGGGGCAGCGGGAGCGCGGGGCCTAGATCAGTCCCCTCCGCTAGCCCGCTTTGTGCCCTTGAGCGGTTCGCTTTCCCCATGTTGTCGTTTTCTCGTCTGTAAAATGGGCATGAGTTGGCTGTCAAATGGCTGTACTGCCAATCTCTATAGGAGTTCTCTGAGGGTTTCCTAAGGTAATAGGAGGAAGGGTCTTAGGACGTGCATCCGGCCTATAAACGTCACGTCGTGCTCCTTTGGCCACCAGGGTGTGCTGGCCGGAGGCACTGAGCCCGCACTCTCCCCTTCCTCAGGTCAGTTTGGAGTGGCCCTTGGAGTCAGTTTGCTACGCGGTCCGAGGCCCCAGCCAGCATGAGCTGCAGCCCCCGCCCGGAGGGCCTGGGACCCTCAGCCTGCACTTCCTCAACCCTCAGGAAGCTCAGCTGTGGGCAGCTCTAGTCCGCGGTGCCACCATGGAGGGTCAGAATGGTTAGTGCTCTCGAGCGAAGATTCCGTGTGGCTGGCCGGGCACTGCGAGTGCTGGGAGACAACTAGAGGAGCCCAAGCCCCCCGGCCTGGATGGGGGGAGGGAGTGGGCAGAGCTGGGTCCAGCGAACCGCTGTGGGGTTCTGGGAAGGCTCTCAGGAGGGAGAAGGTGGAGAAAAGGAGAACAGGCTGGAAAACTTGAAAGGCTGGAACCTGGAGTAGCAGACGGATATGGAGGCGCGCAAGCAGGCCCTCGGGGTCTCAGGGTCCGGGTGAGGAGACAGCCTGGCTCAGGAGCGATGGAGATGCACTCTGGGAGAGTGACAGGCTCATATTTGATCTACTGAAGACTGGTTGAGGGGCGCCTGGGTGGCTCAATTGGCTAAGCTTCCGGCTTCAGCTCAGGCCATGATCTCACGGTTCATGGGTTCGAGCCCTGCGTCGGGCTCTGTGCTGACAGCTATCTCAGAGCCTGGAGCCTGTTTCGGATTCTGTGTCTCCCTCTCTCTCTGCCCGAAAAATAATAAACTGTTAAAATTTAAGGGGCCCCTGGGTAGCTCAGTCAGTTAAATGTCTGACCTCGACTCAGGTCATAATCTCACGGTTCATGGGTTTGAGCCCTATGTCGGGCTCTGTGGGAACAGCTCAGAGTCTGGAGGCTGCTTCAGATTCTGTGTCTCCCTCTCTCTCTGCACCCTCCCCTGCTCACACTGCCTCTCTCTCTCTCAGAAATAAATAAAACATTAAGAAAAATTTTAAATGGAAGGTTTAGTGGTTGGGACAGAAAGCTGGAGAAACAAGGTTCTGTGGAGCTCCCAAACACATGACCTACGTGGAAGGGCATGGAGGTGGCTAGGTTCTTGTACATCCGTGGGGAGAGGGGCCAGGAGAGGTAAAGATTGGCAGTAGAAAAGGTCAACCTGGGTCACCAGGCGAGAGAAGCGAGAGAGGGTGCGACAGGTAGATAATGCAGCAAGGAGGGGAAGGGCCCACAGATGTGTCAGGAGAGCTGCCAGAGGGGAAAGAAGAAAACTGTGTGGCGTGGAGAGGCCCAGACGGCCTGGCGCTCGCGGGGGGTGGCAGACGGTATCCCGGCACCCGCTCTGTGCTGGCACGTTGGGCCTTGGGAGGTTCAACAGGGACGAGATTGGACTTCCTGCCCTCTGAGCTTGCGTTTCCAGAGCAGAGGAAAACACATATTCATGGGCGAGCATACACTTGTGGTGCCCGCAGCGTGACATACAGGCTTGTGGAATCGCTATGTTGTATGCTTGGCACTCGGGTAACCTTGTGCATGGAGTAGGAAATATTTAAGTTGGAAAAAAATTAAAATTTTGTCTGGTGGAGGAGATGGGAATGCTGGAAGAGAGGAGTTTGCATTTTACACACGTCTTCAAGTTTCTTCTTTATGAGAGACAATCCCAAGCAGGCTCCACGCTGTTAGCATGAAGCCCAACACGGGGGCTCAAACTCATGAACCCGGTGAGATTGTGACCTGAGCTGAGATCAAGAGTCAGATGCTTAACCAACCGAATCACCCAGCCCCCCCTCCCCCCCGGGGTTTGCAGGTTTACAGTTTAAAATGGGGTGGCAGGGAAGGCCCCTTAAGGAGACAGTTGAGTGAAATTTGATCCTAATGTGATCGCGCCCACGTTGCCTGGAAGGAGCAGGTACCAAAGCCCCAAGGCAAGTGTGTGTGTGTGATCTTGGGGACTCGGCACAGCCGGGGCAGGCCTGGTCCTGGGTGCTCAGGGGTCCCATTTGTTCGTCACTGTGGGCAGACAGCTCCGAATACTGAGGGCCTGAGGGCATCGCGACGGGTAGGCAGGGCCTGGGGGGGAAGGGAAGGGGAGACGGCGGCACAACAGCGCTGCACGGGTTCTCCCAAGCAGGCATTGGTCCGGGGGGGTCTGTTGGGGACGGGGGTAGAGCCATTCAAGAGGAGGGGTGTCCCTGAGGCTCCAAGAGACCACCCAATTGCAGGGCTCCTGGTGAGCAGGAAGGGGCAGGCTTCTTCTGAGGACCTGCTCTGGTTCCTCTGTGAGCCCAGCGGCCATCCCCGGCTGGCCTAGAGGGCTTGTAGAGGCCAAGGGAAGTGGCTTGGCCTTTTTGGAGGACGGGCATAGGTGGGACTAGACAGTAGAAGAGTGCAGACGCATTCCAGAGCCCAAGGAAAAGCCAAGTGCAGCTTCAGCCCTGAGAGGAGTTGGTAGGGACCTTTTGGGGGGGGGTTGAGGGCCAGGGCTGAGTGGGGGGAAGCCTGGCTTACTGTGCGCCCATCCCAGGGGGTGGGATGAGGTGAGCAAGGAGGTGGCAAGTCCGGGAACCTGAAGTCAGCAGAGGCCTGGGTGAGTAACTCGGCTTGGGGGCCAGATCACAAGAGACCCCAGCCCAGCCCGCATCTTCCCTCCTAGGCAGCCTGGCCCAAGCCCCGGGCCTAGAAATGTGCCCCGCTTCCCCGCCCAGTCCCCCTGGCGTGCCCACACTCCGGGCCCCACAACCCAAGGTGGATCTTTGCTGGAGCCCTGGAGACTTGATGGAGAAAGGTAAAGGCAGGCGGCTGGAGGGGGTTGGAAGCAGCAGTCTGTGCTCAGCTCTGATGGCTTTCTGTCTCCCCCTGCAGAAGAGCTGGTGGGGCGCCTGGCCCAAGCCATCAAGGAGGGGGACGAGAAGGGGGCAGGCCAAGCAGCAGCCGCCCTGGCCCGACATCACGTGGCTCTCAGTGTCCAGCTCCCGGAGGCCTGCTTCCCTCCTGGCCCCATCAGGTGAGGTCTTCTTCACTCGGGCAGCCCATTCCTCCCGGCTCCCCGTCCTTCCCCCTGACCTAAACTCTGGCCCAGGCTACAGGTGACAGTTGAGGATGCCGCGTCCTCTGCCCACGTCTCACTGCATGTCCACCCCCACTGCACCATTGCGACCCTCCAGGAGCAGGTAAGCATGGGGTCGGGGGAGCCCTGTGGGGAGCAGGGGGCTTCTGAGTGACACTGCCTGGCCCTGATGCTTCGGTCCCAGGTGTTCTCGGAGTTTGGCTTCCCACCAGCAGTGCAGCGCTGGGTCATCGGGCGGCGCCTGTGTGTGCCTGAGTGCAGCCTCGCTTCCTACGGGGTCCAGCGGGACGGGGACCCTGCTTTCCTCTACCTGCTCTCAGCCCCTCGAGAAGCCCCAGGTCAGTCCTTGATATGGATGGGATGAAGAGGGGAGACGCAGCCCACCCGAAGCGCCCCTGAGCCCCGCCTCCTCTGCCACAGGACGCAGCCCTCAGCGTCCCCAGAAGATGGACGGGGAGCTCAGTCGCCTGTTTCCTCAGTCACTGGGGCAGCCCAGAGCTTCTCTGCCAGCCACCTCCAGCCTCCCCAGCCCCCTGCAGGTGGGTGAGGGGCTGGCCAGGGGGGCCTGGGAGTCTCTGGACACCGGAAGGAAGGGTAAGCAGCACTCTCCCCACGCCTGCAGCCCGGCTGGTCCTGCCCTTCCTGCACGTTCATCAACGCCCCCGGCCGCCCTGGCTGCGAGATGTGCAGCACCCAGAAGCCGTCTTCCCTTCCCGCAGGCTCCACGCCACCGCTGGCGAAGGTACCAGAGGCTGAGGGGGAGGGGCGAAGGGGGCGCAGGGGCAACAGAATGACTTCTCTTTCCCTCACCCCCAGGTCACAAGGAGAGAGGATGGCCCCGTCCCTCCAGGTCCGAGGTCCCTGGATCCCCTCCTAAAACTCTCAGGAGACCTTTGCTGACTGCTTGCTTGCTGGGGGTCCAGCCGGGACTGTGGAGGGGCCACAGTCCAGAGTCATTAAAGACACTTCTGAGCCAGCCGAGTCCCCTTCCCTGTGCCTTTGTGCAGCGGAGCTGCCGGGAGGATGGAGTATGAGGCACAGCCCCCCCGGGACTAAGTTCGGCAGAGGCAGGGCCTGGTCGTTGTCGGCTGGCGGGGCAACCCAGCCAGGCCCAGGTGGCAACTTCGACCCCAGGGACCCTAGAAGCACACGAGGCGGAGAGGTCTTCCCAGAAGCCAAGGGCATGCAGAGCCCCCACCCCATCCTGGCTGTTGACAGCTGAGCTAGGGCCCCTCCCTAAACACCCGGGCACACCTCCCGTCACCCGCGGGGACACCCTCAGGCGCAGGCTCTCCTCCTTCCACCTGGCGCTCTCCCTTCCCAGTGGCCACTGGTCCTGGGCTGTTCCCGCCAGGACGCTCCTTACGGTCCCCTGCCGGGGACAAGAAAAGCTCAGAAGCTGGGAACCCTGAAGCAGGGCCCCGGCCACCCTCCCTTTGCCCTCGCAACACAACTGCCACTTGGGCTCTGACCCACACTCACCCAGCTGCCCTGTGGGTGGCCAGGAGGTGCCAACCCAGAGCGCCTGCACCCTGCCCCCCCCCCCAGCTGTCCCAGCAGGAGACCAGAGCACACTCCGGCAGAGCTCTGCTTCCCTAGCGCTGCTGGCGGCCGCCTCCCTTCCCCAGCCACTGCCCGGCCCCAGAAACCCCACCAGCAGCTCCTGCTTTAGGCAAGGGTTCCCTGCGGTCCTCAGGATGGCGGCCAAACGGCCCATCACTCCAACAGGCCCCTGGGCCACGTCTGGCCAAGCTGGGCCCTTTTCACCTTTGTGGCTGGCGACTCCCCACCCTGCGTGCTGCCAGTCCCCAGTCTGCACATGGCAGTGTCGGTCACACCGCGTGGGACAACCCTGAGAGCTGGAGAGCAGAGGTCTTAGTCCCAGAGCAAACGTGTGGTCTTATCACACAATAGCTCCAACGTGTGTTGAGAAACTTAATTTATTTCCATGACGGGGGCTGAAGGATCTGGAGCTAGAACCTGGTCTCCTGCCCCTTTCCCTCTTGTCCCAAAGAAAGAGGAGCCTGGCCAAGAGGGCCAGCTGAGGCCTGAACAGGTCCCGGGTGGCTCCTCAGCTTGAGGGCCCGTTCAGGCAAGACGGCAAGCAGACGCTGGGCAGGCTCACTTGGGGGGCCGATATGCCAGCTTCCGGCTCTTCAGGACTGACCACTTATGCCGCTTCATGGCGTAGACCAGGGGCAACAGCAAGCCCATCATCATCAACATCTGGGGGTGCAGCAGGCTCAGGGAGGAAGCAGGAAGCACCGCTCGCCAGTTCCCAGCCCCTCTCCCACGCCCGGCCGTTTTACCTTGAGCCCCATGCGTTTGCGATGGTCGTGCTCTGGCTCGGATGCCCAGCGCAGGAAGGTGCACACGTCCTTGGCTACCTGGGACATGGTAGCTGGGGTGCCTGAGCCAAGACTAAGTGTTAAAGGCTGCCTTTGGGGGTCCCTCCCCAACCTGGGATAGCCCTAGAACGACCCCCTCTGTGCAGCCAAGATGGGCTCCTAAGGCTTCGAAAGCAATGGGAGGACCCCCCCCACCCCCAGCACACAGAAGCCTGAGTCAGACAGGGCTGTGAAGGCTGCCTGTAAGCTGGCTCAGACACAGTGCCGGAGACAAGGACCGTGCGTGACCTCGGGTCAAGCCACAGAAAGCGTTGCTGGCAGTGGGAAAAGGAAGACCCAGCTTTTCTGCCCCTAGGGTGGGGGCTGCTCACCATCATCATACTCTAAGACCTCGTTGTAGATGGGAGGAGCCATGCCAATGGCCTGGCCAGGAAAGTAGGGGTTGAAGTAGAGGCCTTCTCGCAATGACACCCCGGTGGGTGGGTCACAGTAGCCGGTTAGCAGGGAGAAGACGTAGTCCTCACCACCGTGCCTGGAACCAGATCCAAGCCTCCTCAGCCCTGGCGCGAGCTGGACCTTCCTGCCCCCTCCCCACACCGCCCTGCATACCTAGCTCGCACGATGTAGCTGAGGTCAGGGGGCAGTGCTCCATTGTTGGCGGCTCGAGCGGCCTCAGGGTTGGGGTAGGGTTTGGGGAAGTAGTCAGACAGCTTCCCTGGCCGCATGAACATCTCCCCATCCTCGTTGGGGCCATCCTGAACCTCCACCTGCCACCGAGAGCCCCGTCACAGCCCTGCTGTCCACCACAGCGGGAGCCCCCATCCCGGGGTGGTCCTCACACCCCGCCCGCACCTCCTCTGCCAGCGCCTTAGCTTCATCCTCTGTGTAGCAGACGCCCACCAGGTGGCGGTAGGCCACGTAGTCCATGCTGTGGCAGGAGGAGCACACCTGCTTATACACCTGGAAGCCCCTCCGGATACTAAAGAAAGGACAGAGGGTTAGGGGCGCCGAGGACTCCACCCCACCTGTCCTCCCAGAAACCACGCGTCAGCCGGCAGCACACCTGGTGTGGTCCAGGGAAGACAGGAGGCCACGGTGGGACCACGGGTAGCTGGGGGGGTGCAGCTCCAGGTCACTGGCGCTCACGGCAGAATGCAGAGCCACGGCCAGCCCCGCACCCCCTGCCGCCAGCATGCCCAACGCTGACAGCATCACTTTCCGGCCCCGGGACAGACCGGCCTTCGACGACAAGGACACTGCCTGCAAGAGCCCCGCTCAGCGCCTGCCAGAACACCACCCGGCCCTACCTGGCGATCGGACTCTCAGCGCCCGCCTCTCCCCACTCATCCCCCCGCACCCGCCAGCTCCTGCGGAGCACCCCGCCCACACCGCCGCTCCCCACTGCGGGCTTTTCCACCGTGATTCGGCCCCGAGGACGGGGCGCAAGGCATGGTTTTGGATTCGGGGCTGGGGAGGAGATCGATGTCAGCCAAGGGTGCCGGGGCAGGCCAAGGTCACAAGCCGCGGTCCGAGGTCAGGCTGAGGTCACTTCAGGACGCAGGCCCCGTCTGGAAGGCCGGAGCGGGAGCGGGCCTAGGCGCGTCCCCCGGAGAAAGCCCCCAGCCCCGAGCCGGCAGCGAGCCCGCCCCGCCGCCCCCCACGCTCGGCACCAGGCGCCTCTGCTGGTCGGGGAGTGGGCACCTGGTCCTGCTCCCGGGCGCCCCAGATCTGCCGGTGGCGGGGGTCCGGCGGGGGCGCGGGCAGCGGAGGCCGCTCCCTCGCTGCCCGGCCCGCGCCCAGAGCCTCCCCGCCGTGACCTTCAGGAGCTGGGGGGCCACACGGAGGCCGGGGTCGCGGCCAGCGCTCACCTGAGGCGTCCTCAGCGGGAGCTGGCCCGGTCGCGCGCCGCACAGCAAACCCCGGGCCCGCGCGCCCGGCAGCCCGGCGCCCCGCGGGCCCAGCACTGCCCCACGAAGCGAAGCCGCCGCCGCCGCCGCCATCTTGGCCCTCTCCAGCGCGGCCGCAGCTCCCGTCGGCCCCTGCGGCGCCACGGGAGCCCAAACGTCGCGAGAGCGGACCGGGGCCGGTCCGTCAGGTAGTCGTGGAAACCGGAAGTAAGGCGGGGACCGGCGGCGTCTTCCTGCGGCAGGGAAGGCACCTGCTCTGCTCGTCCCGTCCCGTCCCCGGACGCGGTTCCTGCGGGCCCGGCGGCCGTTAGCCCTTGACGCTCCGGCCCCTAGTCCGGCGTCCACGGCTTCTTCGAGGCCATCGATCACTGTCGTCCAGCAATGTTTCCAGACCTGGCACGGTGGCCATCCGTGTCGCAGCGCCTACAGACCCCCGGAGCGAAGGGGCGGCCTGCCGGGGCCGCTCCGCGAGGTGGGGTGCGGATGTCGCGGCCCGCCGCCGCGGTCTCCTTCGCCCGGGACAGGGTCCCGGCTCCAGCGCAGAGTGGGCAGCGCCGGAAGGCTGGGGGCCCCGGGGCTGCTGTGCCCACCGCCGTCCCGGCCCACGCGCGTGGGTTAAGGTGGCGGTTCTCCGGGATGAACAAGGTGTGACAAGGGTTTATTAGGCACATATTATTGTGCCTAATATTAAACTGCCATGAGCAGACGCCATGACTATGACTATGAGAAAGGGTCCCTCAAAAAGCTACTATCACTCTTCAGTGAGAATGGAGGAGCAAGGACCTCGGAAAATCTGCCTCCCTTCCCCCTGTAAAAGCAAGGAAAAAACTAGCAGAGGTTGTTGGAGTCAACTTTTTCAGAACTCTGGAAATTAATCAAAGGATTGCATCATCCCGACAGTATTTACTGAAGAAAAACAACCGAACCTGGGTAAGAACAGTGAGTTTTGCGGTGTTTTAATTGTCCTGGTTAAAGCTACTCTCCAGCCCAGTGGTAACCCTGGAAATTACAGCCCTCGTTCCTGGCAGAGTGGAGCAGTACATCTTGGAAATAATTGCCGTAATTTAACTTGTCAGAGAGCCCTCTGGAAAACCCCTTTTACAAAGCTCACTCAGCCTGCCTAGGGCCAATGGCCTGTGCCCTGACGCTGTTTGGTGAAGGCAGTAACAGGCAAGTTGTAATTTCAAAGCTGCTGGAGGCAATGGATAACAGCTGCAACTAATAACACAGTAACCAACAAGCTTAAAAGGAAGAGTTGGGGAATACAATGTCCACAGGGATGTTGAAAAGCCCTACATATTTCTGGAATATCAAAGGTCACAAACATAAATAGGGTGTGCACAGCCTCCTGAAAGACCTGAAAAAGCATCAAATGCTTACCTCTGGCCGGCCTTGAGGCTCTGCACACAGGGAAGTGAAGCCTAATTCCTGGCGCAAGTTGCTGAAAGGTGTATGGCCCAACAAGTACACAGAGCTATTTGGGAAAGACTGGGAAGTTTGTGGGTTTTAGGCATTTAAGGGAATCTCTGTCATCAACTGAGCGTAGACTTCAGTGGCTACACTTGCCGTATCACAGACTAGACAGAATTCATTCAGAAAAACCACTACACAAATACAACTACCTACTCACAAGCAGCAGCAACAAAACCTGGTATCTGATTTCCAGAATCACCACGTTACATTATTTAAAATGTCTAGTTTTCAACAAAAAGTTCTAAAAC